TTTAAGCATGCCTGTAGTGACCCCCCGGCTCTTTTGACCACGTGTGACATTAGAGAGAAACGTTCGAATACGGATGAAGTCATGCTTTCAGTTCAACTTTTAAACGCTTTATTCGTTATGGGTTTTTCCGATGACCAAGAGTGTCCAACACTGCACTATACACCATTCGTCTATACACAAATACAATACATCTTGCGGCATTACCTGAGCATACACTATGATTACACTACCAGACTTACGTATATATATATAATATACGTGTGTGTTTGTTTGTGTGTATGTATGTATGTATGTATGTATGAGCATACACGATGAATATAATACTGGACTTCCATATATATATATATATATATACATATGCATGAGCATACACTATGACTATATTACTGGACTTCCATGTATATATATATATATAAATGTATATATGTATATATATATATATATTGAGTACACGCCTTCTTTATACTTACTGGACTTCCGTATATTTTTTCAACCTTTAACCTCGATTATCCTCATATGCTTAACTCGCATAAAGACGAGTCGTATATGTCTATTGTGAGGCACGCCGGACATTTGTGTACGTACTCCAAAACACCACGTGTTCACGGTATCTAAGTTATCATTAGTGTTTTAGGGTTTAGGGTTTGATTATAAGCGGAAACTTCACATTCGTGGGAAGTTACCTGTTCTGTGTATTGTATGTCAGGTTGTTAGCTATGCTACACATGCGTACGTACTGCTATGTCAAGCGCCTGGGATGAATTATACGCATACATTCACAACACTTCTTACTCTCACGATGAACTGTGTCTAAAATATCTCTACTCTACTCTATTCTATTCATAGAATGAGCAATAAGACTCCGTTGGGCGTAAAGCCTGGTCACAGAGGATCGGTATCGAAGACCAAGACACCGCCTGTACAGTCATCTCCATCGCCAACTGCGAAGCCAAATGCCTGGGGTAAACCATTGAGCTTTCCAAAGGCCACCCCGGCTACGGTGGACAAGGTAGGTGGACATATGTATATATATATGTGTGTGTGTGTGTGTGATGTACATGGATATGTACGTGTGTGTGTGTGTATTCGATTCATGATATATCTAAATATACCCTCAATTGCTAAGCTATCTTAAAAATTATACTATTCGTATACGCATCTAACCACTATCATGCGAATACAATTGCGAACCTGAAGACATCGATTGATCCTTTGTACTTGTCATAGAACCCCCCGAGTACTCTGGAGAAGGCTGGTGACTATGAACGTGTCGTCTCGCAATTCTTTTTATAGCCAATTCGTTCACATATTTTGAACCATGTTTTAGTTATGGGAACGAATCTTCGCTTCAACTTCCATGCATTCGGATGTCGGTCTTGTATTCGCAACTACACATATACCTGTTTCTTACAACACAATTGCACATGTCCCTATCAGTTTCAGTTAATGATTGTTCTGTCGAGCTGTGTACATGTGCAAGTGTGGTTATGCATGAGCTTTGGAGACATACTCAACCGAATCCCTACGTACACGCACAACTTGCCTGGAAAGAGTCGTTCTGTGAGAAGTACACACAGAGCCTTGCAGAGAGTATCATACTTGTGCATGTCCTCGCTGTAAATAACTAAAGCTAAACCTCACTTTAAATCGGTTAAAAAAACCCTAAATCCTATTATCGTGTTCAACGAACCAGGCACCAGTCATTGAGAAGGTCAAAGTGGAGCCAGTGGACAACGGGTGTTCAGGGGAGGAGACCCTCGTGTGGGCTTGCAAAACTATGACGGTATGTCAGCTCATATATATATGTGTGTGTCTATGTCTGTGTTTGTATGTGTGTCTATGTATTCATGTATGTATGTATGTGTATATTCATGTCTGTCTCTGTCTCTGTCTACAATGAGCACAATTTGTACAAATTATGTATGATTTTTATACACAGGCCTGTACCTGTCCACTGTACTGGTTATTTTTATCGTCTGTGGCTACATCGACAACCACAGTAGCGCATGGCAGTTTCTGATAAGTAGACACGCACATGTGGGCGGCCTTGAGTTACAGTCTATCTTCCGTAAAGATGTGCAATGGCGTGTCTAAGATTGCTGATACGACACTTGCCTAGGGTTTTATATTCCCAATTTTAGGGTATAGATCCTAAAACCCTAGTGAGGTCTGTGGCGATGCGAGGGTTGCAGGGGATAGAATAGTTGCAGACGGGTGAGAGGGCGTCTTACATAATGTATGAATTTGTATCTATTGAGAAGACATGTGAGGTGGCATTCTCATGGATGACTCAGACTCCCACTATATATGCGTTTGGGTTTCTAATGCGTATATATATATGTGTATAAATATATATATATATATATATATGTGTATAAATATATATATATATTCCGCATTTCTTAGTTTCGCACTCTAATGGTAGCGTGCAGGTTATGATCTACAGGATCGGATCTGCATTGCTATCATTTAAAAGGGGAAGCCCCGAATCAAATGAATATCTTACACCAACGGGCCTATGTTGAATTTTATACTTAAGAATTTGTCTGCGCCTAAACCTTGTTATTCAGTGCGTGAAGTATATTGGATGAGATATCTGTATTTGCGTCTATATATATATGTGTGTGTGTGTGTATCTCACATTACTCATCTTTACACAACCCGTGCCTTGATCTCTACAGGGTATGAATGTGAGCATTGAGACAAAGGATGGCAAAGTACACAAAGGTCTGCTGAAGAACACCCAGACAATGAAGAATGGCAAGCTCAACCGCGTCTTTGCCGTGCACGTTATGGAGACTGGCGCTGTCGTTCAGGTATGCACACATTTTATCGTTAAGATGTGCAGAGGTGTGTGCGCGTGTATGTTTTCATTATGTATGTGTGTATATCCCAACAGCACTGCAGTTGAACGAGGTGTGTGATATTTGTAATATGTTAGGGTGTGTGTTTTATTTCTGCTGTGTCCCGTCGCTTATGCACCCACTCATCGCCATTGCCCTACCAAGGATGAATCTACACGCTTGCATATCCTTGTACGAATACTTTCCTCCGTATACATAGGTATATATACACGTCTGCGCGTGTGTGTGTCACACCCATGGATTTCGTTTTCGTAGTTGTATGCCTTGCTATGCACCTAGACTAGTGATCCCACGCGCTTACCTTTCACGCACATAGCAGATTGCTCGCGTGTTAACCGTATAATGTATTCATACACTTAGTCTGCACATACAGCGGCATTGTACTGGTTGGTTCACCATGAGCTGTCTTTCATGAGACATCTATATAGCAAGCCGATGGTAAATTTCCGTTATACGTATATGCATCGAGCGTTGATATCGTGAATATCTCTATGAATTCGTGATCCATCTTTGTACGTGCAAAACAACGCAGGCGCGGCTGCGTGTGTCTGTGTCTGTCTGTCTGTCATACAAAGAACGCCCTCAAATATGCACTTGCATTTTCAAGCATTTCCTTTACCTACACAACTCAACAGGTGCCACTGAATGAATTCAAGCAGTTGACTGTAGAGCGTTTGGACATGACCTTTGCGGAGGAGGCAGCCGATTCATTCCGCACGGACAGTCAGATCAGTGGCATGGGCTGGAACGAGCGCGAACTCACCAAATGGCACGGCGAAGAGGGTGTGAGCCTGGAGGACGACGGCTC